CAGGAGCACTGAGGATATGGTCCTCCGGGATACTATAGCGCACCCGGAGCTCCTCCAGCAAGGCCCCGCTCACGGTGGAATCAATGTCGTGCGGCCACATCAGAGCCTCCAGGGCTCGTGCCACTTCTCCATCAGAAGACTCAACGGGGGACGGAGGAGGATTTCCCTCCCCGGCTCCGAGGACGCAAAGAGAAGAAGAGGATGGAGAGGAAGGAGGGGAAGAAGGGGGCGACATCTCAACTGACCTTAAAAAGAGGGAAAGAGTACGCAGGAGGCTAGGAAGGGGACTCGGGAAGCGACAGCGTAACTTGAGGGAGAAAATACGGCAGCAAAAGATGGAGGCAGAGTCGGGCCTCCGCTATTTAAAGGGGATGGCTCGTCAGAACCAACGCCCCTTCGCTTCCCGAGAACGGGCGGCAGCCCACTCGCGCGCGCGTGAAACCGTCCCGTCGCATCGGGAGACCGCCAAAAGGCGCTCCGCATTAATGAGGGCCTGACGTGGCAGCCAGCGGCAGCGCGTTGCGAAGTACGGAGGCACCCAATCATATCAGCCTCGAAAACTGGCCACTTCCAAAAGGGGCAGCCCTTTACCTTCCCCAGGGAAAAAACAACCTGGCCTCCCGCACCCGCGCAAAGTCAGACGACCAATCGCCGGCCAAAGAACCAAGTACCACCTCGGTCGAAGCCTGCCTGCATCGAGCACCCCGACTCCCTCGGCACGGCCTGCCCACCTCCGACGTGACCCTCGGCCGCATGGTGCCCAAGACCACTTTCTCGCGTCCTGCCCGCCTGCCCGTGCTACTCGGCCACACGGCCCTCGCGACCACACCTGCGCGGTCTGCTCGCCTGCGTCGTGCTCCTCGGCGGTGTAATGACCGAGACCACACCTGCGCGGCCTGCCCGCCTGCGTCGTGCTCCTTGCTCCTATCATCCCTGAGACACACCGGCGCGTCCGGCCCGCCTGTGTCGTGCTCCTTGGCTCCGTGTTCCCGAGACAGGGCAACGCCGCCAGTACGCCTGCGTCGTGCCCCTTGGCTCCAAAACCCCGAGGCACACCTGCGCGGTCAC